CTGGCCCCTCGTGGACATGTGCCAGGATAATTCTCTCAAAAAGCTTACCCAGGGTTGAGGTAAGACTAACTGGCCTATAGTTTCCTGGGTCCTCCTTCCTCCCTCATCTTTCCTCATTATTATTACTAATCAGATCCTTAAATCTTATATCCCTTATCCATGTTCAGTAATCCCCCACTTGGAGACTGTTTATTTTTACATATACATTAGATTTTGAAAATGTGTTTTTAATTATACTGTAATGACATTATCATTTGAAAACTCATGCCTATCAATGATTTTTTTCTTGGAAGGCCTCTGAAGAAACCACAAGTGTTTTCATCTGCAGTCTCATGTCATATTAATTTCACTGTTTTATTTCTTTCCCACTACACTGGAGTTTAAACAGGGCCGAAACAGATGGATTTACTTGCATGAAATTTTCCCTCTAGTATTGTTTATCTTCTTTTCTTTGGTTGTTCAAAGTTGCATGTGTTATTACGCACATGCACACATGCGCATACGTTTTCATGCTTTTGGAAATAAATAATTAAACATTGGATTCCTAAAAGGAAGTTTGTATTTACCCACTAAATTTCTGTTTTGGTTCCTTTCCTCCACAAATTATTTCTACAACTCTTTAAAATTTCCAAAGGATTTCAGGTGAAAGCTGCTCATAACTAGCAGTAGAAAGCCAGCTGTAAACAGATCCTTGAGCAGATCCAGGATTTTGTTCAGGTCAGTGTGGGAGCAGTAACTAGCACTGTGGGGTGACTACAGCCCTACTCCCAGCTCCCTGCTCTCTTATCTTAACTGGTTCGGGGCTTTTAAACTGTCCTCAGCTCCTGATACCTCAGTGTGATCTGCAAGGAGGAAGGGGGCAGGATGGGGGGAAGAAGGGGAGAAGGGAAGGTGCAACCCTTCCACTACACCCCTTTTGCATCCACCCCTGAACAGATGCAAATTCATAGCCACAAAAGCTCCACCTTAAATATACCAAATCAGATCTGGATTGGTGGAAAATGGCCTCATACACTCATTTCTCTAGTACAGGTGAAGAATATCAAGTAAAATATACCTCCCAAATCCTTGATGACTAATAATACCCCATGAAAATAAGGGACTGATAAGCATTTTAAATATAGCACATAGCCATGGGATGGAAACAAAGCCAGCATTAGGGAGGGGCAAATGAGGTTCCTTGGTGGGGCCCTTTACATTGGAAGAGAACTGGAGGGTTCATTTACTACGGGTGTGGGTAGATGAAACAGGGGCCCTAAATTGAAGCTTTGGGTTTTAAAAAACACTGTTTCAATTTAGGGCCAATTAAACCCCATGTCATGCACACCCTCCACTGACTTAACTGCCTTTCTGGTGGGCAGGAAAGGGGAGGGTGAGCTGCCAGTGGGCAGAGCAGTCCCTGGGCTGCAGGGAGCTGGTGCTTCCCTTCGCAGCAGCGTCACCCCTTCCCGCCCCCCAGGCGGCACTCAGCTCAGGTGGTCCCAAGGGGCACCACTGTTGCAGAGGAAAGCACCAGGCCCCCACACAGCTCAGGCAGGCAGGCTTTGTGGGGAGGAAAGATCAGGCTTGCCACTTTTTCTGCGCTGCTGCCTGACTGCCTGCAGGGCTTCCTGCAGAGCCATGAAGCTGCATGGAGCCCAGTACTTCCCTCCATGGCTGTAGAGGCAGCAAACTAAAACTACTTGAAGGAGTTTTAGTTTGCTGCACCACAAGTCGTTTAAGGCTCATTACACTGCCCAATTTCCTACAGTGGCTGGAATTAATGTGCAATATGTCGCCAAGGCACTCAAACACTGATACCGTTAAAGCGGTGCAAAATCATTTAGCCTGCTTTAAAGTGTCATGTGCACGCCCCCCCCATTTCATCTCCACACAGCCTGTGACACTACGTCATGGTCAGTGAGGCAGTGACAGCCTGGAAGAGAGAGCCTACGTCTTCCAAAGTGAATTCTGATGCTATAGTGAGTGTCCTATTTTGCCTTCCTTTGGCCCATATTCTTCAACTGATATCTTGTTTTCAGTACATAATGTCATATCAAGAGAAAAATGTGGTTCAAAAGTGCAAATGTATGGACCAAATTCTCAGCTGATAGAAGTGGATGTAAGTGTTTAAAATAATGAAGTTAAGGCAGTTTCTGCCAGCTGACCACTTGGCCCTCCATGAAGACTCTTTGTATTTAGCATTTATTTTGATGGTCTTGTGGGAGCCTGTGCATTTAAGAAATAATTCTTACTGCATACACTGAATTTATAAATATGGATTCTGCCCTTTTTTAACTGAAAAAACTATTTTTTTTGCTAGGTATCCCACCAAACATTTCACCTCTCACCTCTCCATGCCATTCCCCTATCCAGGGGACTCCAGCTACCAGTCCCACAGGCAAAACCTCTACAGTCCAATTTCCAGATGCTACTGACACTGACACAAAGGAAGGCCTGAGGCCACACAAGGTTTTAACTTCTACTCAGAGTGCACCTAACCTTTCAGAGCAAACTCTACCACCCCCTGTTATCTGCAGCAGGTAAGATGCTAACTGGACACACATTAGAATCTCTGCTTGGTTTTCCCCATAAGCAAATTATTCTATCTCATAAACAAGTTCTTTTGATTTCACTTCCGTACAGTATACTGATTGGATTGTCATCACATTAAAGCAGTTCAGGGTATACTAGTAATTGTGTACACACGAGGAAGTCATTGCTTTTAAAGGTCAAGCCATTTACAGTTTTTACCCAGGTTAAGCATATAATCCGAGTCATAATTAATTTTCTGTGGCATTCTGGATCCCATTCTGGATTTTCATTTTAATGAGCTGTATTTCTTTTTCTGCATTCCAGTTTTTCAGACTGTATGCTTTACATATGCCACTAGGATTTTGAAAACTGCTGGCCAGTTATTGGCCTGGTTGTTGTTTCTGATGCAGGGAAAAGCAAAAATATTTCACATCCATGATTGTAATTGAAATTCAAATGGAATCTTCCGAGTTCTAGTCTCCTATCTTAGAAACATTTTATAGTTTTGTCATTTGTGTTTAGCTCCTTGCCATACCATTTAAAAAAAACATAATTTCTACTAACTACATTATATTATACATATAACTGACATTCTACTGTGTCTAGTTAAGAGTTTATACCAATGTATATCATTAAACAACAATCTATATTACTGTTGGCTCTGACTCAGTAGATTTTATCTTTGCAGTGTTAGAGGCAAATATGTGGACTAATGACAGTAGTGATTACTTTATGGAAGTAAATTGCAATGAAGTGGTCTGTTGCTACTGCTGAATAATATTATAAAATGAGCTAGTAGTATGCTTTGAAAAGCTCTTAGAAACTGTGTGCTCTTATATGATGAGCAGTCAACACCTGGAAGCAATGCTAACTTACCAAAAAAAGGCAAGGTTGAAATTAAACCCAATTAACGAATTCTATAATATGTGGCCAATATTGAATAGTGAAAAATGTCAGTATCTTGATGTGAAGTGTGGAAATCTTGTTCTATACTGCCATGAAGATGGTTATATACCTCAGATGGCTCATTTTGGTCTTATCAATGAAATTTTTCTAACCTGGTATTAACTGGGAGAGACAATTTTCCCTTTCAATTGAGATAATGTTGCATGTGCTATCTCTGTGCCAAAGTACTTGTTTATTCTTTCTTGGAACCTTCCTTGTTTTTTGTCTAACTTTCATGTGATTTTCAGTTCGTTCTGTTTTTATTATTTTTATAGAGTCTACTGAATGTGAAGTTGGATAGGAAGGATTAAAGATAAGGATTTTAGTTTGCTCAACAGAATCGTGGTCTGAAATGTTCAAATTTCAGTGCTAATCATTGACTTCAGTGGGACCAGGATATCACTGCCATCCAATGTGTTAGATTGGCAGTATGAGATCAGTAACATCCTTAGGTTTGTTTCTTTTGTTGGTGGTTGGGGGGGCAGGGGGAGCATTTAAAGCAAGGGAGATGGAGAAGTGAATGTAATTGGCAATGGAAGTAGATTTTCTCAAACTTGAATATTTGATATGTAAATTATTGGCCATTTATGATATCAGACTAAGTCTTACAATTCATTTATGTCAACAGAATTCTATGAAGACTCTGGCAAGGTGCTTGTCTTACTCCTCACTAGTGCTGGTCCACCTGAGATAATACCCTTCCATTGATATCACTTATGTCATAGGTCATAACTGGCATAAGTCTATGAAATGAATGTAAAGGTCCTAAAGCAGTGTTGTAATTAGTAAGATTCTATACCTCCCATTGCAACCTTGGAAATTTTACATGGGGGTAGGGGGGAAAGAACAACAGATGAATATTTTAAAGATTGTATATACTGTGAAAGGACATGCACAAAACAGTGTTTAAGAAGGTAAGAAATCCTTCAACTGAAGTAGTTTCCATTACCTTAATTAGGCCCCCATCTGTATAAGCATTATGATACCACCCTTAAATCTATGATCATGTCCTGTTTTCTCCAGAGGACATTGCCTACCTTGTTCAGTTTTAGGGATGAACCTGCTCCAGAGATGAGTCAGAGATCTATAGGAAGCTGCTTTCTATAGAGCCTCTGCTTAATTTATTGAGGAAATTGAAAGGGATAGAATGAACAAGGCAAGGAAGATATGGAATGGCATTATGGTAAAAGCAGTTGAATGCAACCTAGGGAATAGGTTTTTCTGTCATACTGTCTTATCATACCTCAGTGGGAATTGTTTTTTGATAGCACAAGATACTATATTATGTAAATGGAGATAATGCCTTCCAGGGGCAGACCCCGGAGGGGTCCACTAGTATACTTGCATCCCCTTTGATTCCTGGTCCACCCGAAGTTTAAAACCGACTACCTGCCAGCAGCAGCAGCAGCATTTCTACTCCAATCAGTGCTGAGAGTCAATTGACTTCATAGCTAATTATAATCTACCTGATCCCTTCTAAACTCTTCATTCCACAGATCTTAATGACTCTCTTTTCTTTTTAATGGTCTTGATATTTCACCAATCAAGCTATCCTGTGTTTTGCAATTCTGCTGTCTGTTAGCTGCTCTTGATAATGAAGTGCCTATTTTACAGTCCTGCAGTCCCTTTCACAGTCCTACAGATTATTTTTAATTCGTTTCAGTGAAGTTTTATTTGTTTTGCTTTAATCTTAAACTGAATATTACAGTCTTAGGCCCAGTAAATATTCTAGTTTTTTTTTTAAATCTGGAAAAAAGATGTGTTGTTTTATACGTGATGATGCACCTCACCTTCTGCTCCCCACTTTTCAAAATTTAAGATCTGTCCATGATGCCTTGACATTCTAGGGGTATTTGTGAAACATTGCAGAGAAGCCTGTGAGGAAATTTAATAATTTTGTTTCCACAACAGCGTTTGAAAAGTAGATAAAGCCACACATTGAATAATGAAGGTAAAATAAAACATTTGGTAGCTATTAATTAAATGATCACCATCTATCCTGTGAACTGAATGGAACAAGAGTCTTCTAATAAAAATATTGTGTGTTATAGTGCTGCCATTAATTTCATGATCTTGTATATAGAGGGATGCTGAATCAAGTTTAAACTGGCACTCTTTGATTGGACTGGTCAATTTTGCAAATTCTCTAATGGTTTTAAGATAGTAATTTTTATGTAGGATATAAACACAATGCATTATTTTGGAGGAGACGGGGGGGATCAATACATAGACATGCTTGTTCTCTCACTATTGCTATTGGGAAAGATCTAGTGACGTACCACCAGCTGAAGCTTCTCTTCATAGCTTGTTTATGTTTTGATGAAGTTATGGAACATCCAGGAAAAAGAAATAATGAAAAAAAGAATTTGTGGTAACAGATGGTTTGGTCTTGTTTATAAATTTAAAAGATATATGTGTGTTTACTTTGGAGTTTATGTATAATAATACATATGTGCTTGCATTTTGCATGGAAATGGATCCAGATTTTTTTTTTAAATCTGTTCAGGGCCAATCAACCATGTGAGGTGCATGGAGCTGCAGAACATGCTGCTAATTATTGTGGTTAACCTTATTCAACCACCAGGGCTTGGATTTCAATCAGTTCCTCTTCAGTGCAGTGGAATCCATGCAAAAGTTGATTCCTAGCATAGATTCCAACTGTGTTAAATAACCAGTATAAACCTTATAATTGTGCCAGTAAATAACCAGTATAAACCTTGTAATTTTGTAGGACTGCTGTTCAGCTGCTAAACATGTTGTGCTGATGCAAGAAGCTAGGACAGGAAAAGCTTGCAAAAAGTATTGGACATCTCCATGGCTGTAAAAATCATTCATTAGCCATCTCCACTGCAAAAAGTATTGCACATCTCCATTGCTGTAGAAGTCGTCCATTTATGCAGGGCAGAGGTCTATTTTTACTCAAGAAAAATAACTTAAAGTAAGTTATTTTTCTTGAGTAAAAATAGACCTCTGCCCTGCATAAATGAAGGAAAATTGACCCTGAAGTTAGGAATTCACCTAGGATCAAAAGATGTGTTGAATTCTCTGCCACAAGCTTTCAATGTGGTTTTAGGCAAGTCACTGACTAATGACCACAGACGTTAGCAATTGCAGTAGGAAGGTGATCTGATAAACTCAAATCCTATTAGTCTGACCTAAATAAGAACCGATATTGAAGGAAACGATAATTAAAGACACTGAGGTAAGGGAAAACGAGACACAGTGTAACATGGGTACATCATACTACCTTGGTACATTTCACTTTTAAGATTACTGAATTTCTAAACAAGGTAGATACAGTAGATTTATTCTAGCTCAAGTTCAATAAAGCATTTAGGGGTTTGGTAACAGTTCAGTACTTATACTGTTTTTTCAGCATGATGATACCAATTATAATGTTGGGATTCATCATAATCTGTGTCCTCACACTTAAAAGGTTATCAGGTGAAGTTAATATCTGAAAAGGCCTCTGTGTCATTGTTTTTCTTTTTTCCACTCTTTAGGGATTAGGAAGCATACTCTGTCCTCTCCTCTCACACTTATTTAACTATTTGAGCACCAATTGTTTCTATGACAAATTGTGCAAAACATCTTGGTGTATTGCCACTGAAGGAATGATATATTTTTTACTTCACTTTAAAAAGATATGTGTATCTCTAGGAAAAGACAGGAGGGAGAAATCCTCTAACCATTTTAGATTCATTTGACTTCAGTTATTTAAGACTACTCTGGTTCCTGGTAAATTTTCCTCTTGCTCTTTCTGAATTAACTTCTAATGTGTAATTTTGCTGTATATTAAACTTGCATTTTTATACTATAGATTTGGAAAAATGTTTAAAATCTCCCCAATTAATCAAATTTAGCCTATGCTCCAGCTTCTTTGCAACAGTCTGGCAACATAAACCAGCAATAACTCTGATTTATCTAGTCAAGCCAAGTTTTATGGCGACTGTTTGCATTACTGTCATGAAACAAAACTTCAGAGCATCCCTGTGAATCTGTCCTAGGACTGAGCAAAGTGTCATAGATCTTTTTGCAGAGTATAATCCTGTTTTAGCAGCAGAGTACAAGACTTTTCCTTGCTCAATTACATGATTCTTTGATTTTTGACATGCTCTTTGGTACTTGTTTCAGCTGTGGCAGACCATATAACCAGAGGGATTCTGGCGATGCGACTCTGGATCAAGGTGATGGAACAACAACACACGCTCTGAACAGAACAGGTAATTCTGACTCAAAATAGTTCTTCCTTCTAAAATATAAGAGATGTTGACAGAGTGTGTAGATGCTCCTGTCTCTCTTTACATAGAAAATGTTTGAGACCACAAGAATGACTTTTATACTTCCTTTTTATATCAATAGCAATACCAGACCAAAGCCATTTCCTTAAGCCCCCCCTCTTTCCCAGGGACAGAAGTAGATGTCAAGGGATGTCAGTTTCTTAATCAGTCTCTTTGGGTCCGTCCAGAGATCTTTAAATGAAAGGGGGCTGGGTAGAAACATATCACCTCCACCTTCATGGTTTCTTTGAGATTTCTGTGGAATCATTAATGTTTTTTAAGTCGTAAAAACCCAAGCCACTTTTGGCTCCTGACAGGCACAAGGTACAGCAGGTTCGCACCATAAACCAGGAAATCCCTCTTTAAGGGCAGTTTCCAGGCTTAGCAGTGCCCAGCTCCATTAAATCTTCATCAAGCAAATGATTAATATATGGGAGGTGATGTCTGCAGCTGTCCTGGGAGCCACACAAAGCTGCCCTGTGCTCGTGACTGATTTCTCTGAGATCCAGTGTTCTGTGTAGATACAAACCTCATTCCCCCTTTCCATACCAAGCAATCTAGAGAAATCCTACAAGTTTGATTGCCTTGAATTTCACTTCCACCTGGCCACCTCCTCTGGACTGTTTTTGCTGAAGAGGATTATGTGACCATTGGTAATTACATACTAATTTATCATCCAGATAATGTAACAAAAGCCTCACTAAGGCAGTTGTGCATTGATCTCCATTTTGTATCAGGCAACTAGAAACTGTACATTAGTTAGCATTTTATTTTCTGTGCTAACCCAAATCAAAGTGTAAATAATCCAGTAAGGCACAAACTATAGAAGTTGCTGTCCTGAATGTAATTTAATTCTGATGTTCTTCTGGCTGTGATAAAACGGGCTCTTAGAAATCATTAAATATGCATTTTAAACCAGAAAAACATTTCTGGATTTGAATATAGTCTTTCATTTCAAATTTTTGCTATAGCATCTAATATTTCTTTATATAATATAGCTAACATTCCTTCATGTAACTTACACCTCAGAATGTGCTTTTGGCTGAGGTTCTGGAAAGCAGAATGTGCGTGGGTTTTCTATCTCCTCAGAAACGTAAAATCTACCTCATGTATAGGAAGCTGGGGCTCACAGTATGAGCCACATTAAGGGCTGAGTTTTGGTGCAGACCCATAGTATAATATATCTGGTAAAGATGCACTATTTGTAGTACAAAATACAAAGCCAGGGTGATTTGAAAAAAAAAAATCTCTACAGTAACTCAGTTTAAAAGTGAAAAAAATGTAAATATTACATCTTTCTTCTTCTCCATCTATCTTATTTAACCTGGCCCATCCTAATAATGGTCCACTCTTCACTCTGGTTCCAGTTTCTCACACTGCTGGGGTACATTTTTTAATGTCACTGGACAAAGTGTCAGGATAAATTTCAAACCTACTTAAACAGCATATGCATGGTTGAGTCAGATATTCTGCTGGTGTGACTCAGAGGGTCAAAGAGTACAATTCTTACTGTTCTCATAAGCCATGGGGGTTGTGATTATAGATGATCCAGCTCAAGCCACTTCTGACTACGAAACCAACAACAGTGACAGCAGTGACATCGTACAAAACGACGATGAGACAGATTGTTCCAAAGAACAGACACAGAAGGGCTCTGTCTGCAGGACGTATGCACCTGAGACCATCATATTGCACCCTTTATTGCCACCTGAGGTAGCTTATTTAAGCAATATTTGCATACTGTGTTAAAATAAACTTTGAGATACTAAGAAAAGAATATGGCAGTCAAAAAGACTTGGCCAAGAACTTAATACATAATTGCATTAAAGTAGGGTCTAGACTTCATACTTATGCATCTTCGTAAGCAGTCTGATGTTCAAAAGCATGAACTAGCTATTGAAATTAGTGGAAGTTATTGAGTGTCCAGCACTTTTGATAATGAAGCCACTTATTTTGATGCCTCAGTATCAATTTTATATGCCTAACTTTAGCACTAATTTTTGAAAATTTTGACCCATGTGTTATCTGTAAAGAAAACTGATTGTAAGGAATAGATATAATCTTGTGTGTCCTGTTAATGCATTGTGTCTGTGATTAGCCATATCAAACTTTAAACAACCTGGTTAACCATATAACCTTGGTTAGCATATGCATTTGCCAAAAGGTGCTATATGGTATTAATTATTGATTTCTTCCAAGTATGTGGATACCACTGCATGGTAAATATTGACAGTTGTCTTTAAAAGACTGCTGGACTTGGTTGGTTTGGCTATAAATGAGAACAAGCAACACTTTGAATATCTATTCAGATTTTCAGAGCCCTTTTATGCAATGAAAATAAAACAAAAATCCCATGAGACGGGGACTCTTTTGCCATTCCTTTTCATTTCAGTTGTCAGGTCAGGGTTGGACATACCAGGAGGAGGAAATTGAGGTATTTTGGCATTTTGTTTTCCTGACCCATTACTTGAAAGTGAGGAGTGGAGAGAGAATGAAAATGAATAGATGGGGATAGGGGGGAGATAACCAGGGCGTGGTGGGGGTAGGGAGAAAGAAAAGATATGTGATTTTTTTTTTAGCATGTCTGCTTGAGTAGGGCAGGGAAAAGATTTATTATTGCTGCTGGCTTGTTTCTGTTATTGTAACCATCATCAAACTAGGGGACTGTGGTGTCAACACCTACACAGTCAATTGGGTTGCCAACGGGCTGGAGGGCCGTACCCAGAGAGTGGTGGTGGACGGGTCATTTTCAGCCCGGAGGGATGTGGGCAGTGGGGTCCCCCAGGGCTCAGTCCTCGGGCCCACACTGTTCAACATCTTCATCAGCGACTTGGACAAGGGGGTAAAAAGCACCCTGTTCAAATTTGCTGATGACACTAAGATGTGGGGGGATGTGGGCACTCTAGAAGGGAGCAATAGGCTACAATCGGACCTAGACAGGTTACAAGGGTGGGCGGATGAGAACAGGATGGGATTCAACACTGACAAGTGCAAGGTGATGCACCTGGGGAGGAACAACCGGCACCATACCTACAGGTTGGGGAACTCCCTTCTCGTCAGTACAGAGGCAGAAAAGGATCTTGGAGTCATCATTGACTCCAAGATGAACATGGGCCAGCGGTGTGGGGATGCAGTCAGGAAGGCCAACCGCACCTTGACATGTATCCAACAGATGCATCTCGAGCAGGTCCAAAGAGGTGATACTCCCCATCTGTGCGGCACTGGTCAGGCCGCAGCTGGAGTACTGCTTCCAGTTCTGGGTGCCGCGCTTCAGGTGGGATGTGGGCAACATGGAGAGGGTCCAGAGGCGGGCCACTCGTATGATCAGGGGGCAGCAGGGCAGGCCTTATGAGGAGAGGCTACAGAACCTGAACCTGTTCAGCCTCCACAAGAGACGGCTGAGGGGGGATCTAGTGGCCTGTTACAAACTAGTCAGAGGGGACCAGCAGGCACTGGGGAAGTCCCTGTTCCCCTGAGCACTGCCAGGAGTGACCAGGAATAACGGTAGATTTAGGCTAGATATCAGGAGGTGCTACTTCACGGTCAGGGCAGCTAGGATCTGGAAGCAGCTTCCAAGAGAAGCGGTGCTGGCCCCTACCCTGGGGGTCTTTAAGAGGAGGTTAGATGAACACCTTGCTGGGGTCGTTTGACCCCAGTAATCTTTCCTGCCATGGCAGGGGGTCAGACTAGATGATCTACTCAGGTCCCTTCCGACCCTTGAAACTATGAAACTATCAAAGTGTGCTTTCTTACTCATATATACATGCTGTAATTTTAGTTGGGAATTTGTTGCCTTAATCCTGTTATTTTAGAACAGGTCATGATGGAGAAGTAAAAAGTGAATGTTTTTTTTCCTGTGTTGATCTAAGTTTTACAAGGAAGGTAGGTAACCTTGGTGTAGTTTTAACATTCAGTTCCTGATATTTCATTTTCAATATTCTCAATCAATTCTAGTTTTTAAAAAAGTATGAAGAAAGATGGCTAAAGTCAGGGTGTAACTCTGTTGTAAGTTCAATAAGGAAGCATTTGCTTTCACCAGTTAATGTGAATTAGTTAATTCAGCCCTAGATTTATAGACTCTTATTGTATTAGTTAGACTTTCCTTAGGTTTATTATCCAGCATTTCTTCTGATTCTGGGTGCAGGACAAGCCTATTCTTGCTCCAGAGCCTCTTGTCATGGACAACTTGGATCCCTTAATGGAGCAACTGAACAGTTGGAACTTCCCAATCTTTGACTTGGTGGAAAAAATAGGGAAGAAATGTGGTCGAATCCTCAGCCAGGTAAGAAGTGTGTTCCTTTTTATAGACAGATTGCCTGTGCATGCACCTTATACTGTGTGTGTGTATAGAGACAGATATAGACAAAACTTGAGCTTTAACAATAGGGTGGGCCCATGGCCCTTCTAAGTCACTGAGCCTTAGGAATCATGAAATCCTTCCACACAACTCAAAAAGAATAGCTTGAACCTGCTTCCATTAAAAGATCATTTTCTGTCCCCATCACAACCTATTTTTTCAAAGTAAAGTAGGCATGTACATATTGGGTTGCTGTATGAGGATTTATGGGAATCTAACACTGTGGGCTTCCCAAATGCAGGAGTTACTGCTATCATTTTGAGATTGCTGCAAGTGACCCAGAAACTTTGCAGCATGGTTCTCTTTTATATTGCCGTGCAAGAAACTAAGGTTGATTGGGGGGGGGGGGGGGGATCCTGCTCCCTTTTTTTAACCTTTCTTTTAAAAAGAAAGCCCTTT